AAAGTGAATAAATACGTTCAACCCACTAAAAGTGAATAAATAATAAAAAGATAAAAATAGAAAGAATAAAAAGAATATAGAAAACGTATTTACTATTGGTCACATACCTATTGTATGTCTTAAATTTTATCAGGTATCACTGAAAATTAAAATATCTTATGATGATTTTAACTGTGGTCAAGTTGATATAACACATCAAGATGTTTATCTAACTAGAAAGAGAAATAGATTATATGATTGGTAATGAAAATATCTACTGTTGATTTTCTTGTCTTAAAAAAGGAATTGATCATTTGATTAAAAGTGAAAATATCCAAAAATAGACTTAATAGTAAGTGATATATTTTAGTATAACTATATCATGAAGATGTTTAAATATGTTCTTATTATATTTAAATCATATGTTATTACTATGTGTTTAAATTATGTATTTAATGTTTTTTCATGTTAACTTGTAAATTTCTTATTGTATATATATTGTTTTATTAAAAAATATAAATATTCATCTTGTTGGATCCAAGATCTATAATATAAATATATGTCTAGTAAACATTGTTACAACACATACTATATTTAAAGATAAGAAATATTTTTTTCATTAGATAATGGAAAAAACCAATGTCAATTCAATATCTGATAATATAAGATTAATTGAAGACTTCGGAAGAGTTAATATTTTACTATCTCAAGGTATAAAGTTTATAATAGAATATGTATTCTTTTCTATTAAGTCTCAAAGAAGCTTATTAAGTTTTAAAGATATTCAGACAACAAATGTTGAGACAATGAATGAAAGGGACATTTAATACCTCTATATTACATCTATTATATCAAGTAGGAGGTATGTGTTGAAAAAAAAATACTTATTTTGTTCTCTGGATTAAACTACATAATTATTAGAATAATTGAAACTCATAGTAAGTTAGAAGTTTACTAATGATTTTAATATTTAACATGACCGGTTAGACCATGCTAGATCAACAATGATACAAAAAATTATTAAAAATTAAAATGATCATTCATTGAAAAAATAAAAGATTTTTCAATCTAATGAAATACTCATGTGTTGCTTACTCTCAAGATAAACAAATTATAAGGTTATTCCCAGTTAAAGTTGGGACTAAATTTTCTACGTTTTTTAAATATATTTAGGGTTATATGTGGATTCATACATCCACTATGTAAACCATTTAGATATTTTATGATTTTAATAAGTGCATCGACTAAATGGTTATATGTGTATTTATTATTAACTTGCAATTTGACATTTACAAGATTAATAGCTCAAATCATTTGTTTGGAAGCACATTTTTCTGATTATATAATCAAGACAATATGTCTTGACAATGCTAGTGAATTTACATCTCAAACCTTTAATATTGCATATTAGTCAAAATAATTGTTGAAGAACCTATTGTTTATATTTATACACAAAATGGTCTACTAAAATCATTTATTAAACATTTTCAACTTATTGCAATCCCATTATTTATGAAATTTAAACTTTCAATTTCTATTTTGGAGGCATAACATTCTAGATGCAGTAGCATTTGTATGCATCAGGCCAAACAAGTTATCATAAATTCTCCCTTAAACAATTAGTTTATAATTAGAAACCAAATATTTCACATATAAGAAGTTTTAAATGTGCGGTATAAGTTCCAATTGCTCCACATGATGCATAAAGATGGGCTCTCAAAAGAAGTTAGGAATATATGTAGGATATGAATCTCCACCTATAATTAAATATCTAAAACCTTCAACAAAATATTTATTCATTACAAGGTTTGTTGATTGTCATTTGATAAAAACAAATTTTTCAACATTAGGTGGAGGAAATAAGCAGCTTAAAAAAAAATTATCTTAGAATATATTATCATTATCTAGTTTTAATCCTCATACAAACCAATATGAGCAAGAAGTTCCAAAAATAATTCTTTTGTAAAATATAATAAAATCAATTGCCAAACGTATTTATTGACCTAAAGAGAAAAATTAAATCTTATATATTAACTACAAATGCTCCTATTAGCATTGATGTCCCTGTAGGACAAGGCATGCCAGAAACGTGGAGGCCAATTAGTTTCAAAAATAAAATCCTCAAAAAAAGTAAAGGAGCAAATATTTAATATGGTCAGAAAAGGAAGTAGAAACTCTAGACTAGACCCTTGACATAAGTAATTAAAATTTCAAAAGAAATTCAAGTACTTGAAATCATTGAAAATAAAGATATATCAATCAATTATTTTATAATGAGAAAAGATGGAATTGGATTGAAATAAATGTCGAAGATATTTTGTATATAATACATAATGTAATATTATGAAAGAAAATGAAGATCTTGAACCCACATCTCTGAAGAATGTAGACATAAAAATAATTTGCTAATGTGGAAAGACACAATTAAAGTCAAATTGAATTCACTTGCAAAACGTGAAGTTTTGGGACCTATTGTCTGTACATCAAATGGTGTAAAACCAAAAGGACATAAATGGATATTTGTGTGAATACAAAATGAGAAAAATAAGATTATGAGATATAAAACACGACTTGTCGCACAAGGTTTTATCCAAAGATCTAATTTTGAATGTAAAGAAATATATTCTCTGTGGTAGATGCAATTACAATTTTATAATAACTAGTCTAACAATATATGAGAAGATTGAAATGAATGTAGCTATATCCCATTTATATAGCTCATTTAATATTGATATCTATAAGAATAATTCTGAAGGATTTAAGTTACTTGAAGTATAAAATTTGAATTCTCAAAAAATTTATTTAATCAAATTAAATAAATTTTTATATGGATTAAAATAATCTAAACGCGTGTGATATAATCCCCTTAGTGAATATTTATTGAAAAAATGTTATAAAAATGATCCTATATGCCCATGTATTCTTATAAAAAGATTCAGATTTGAATTTGTGATAATTACTATTTATGTTGTGAACTAAACATTATAAGAACTCTTGAAGAGTTATCAAAAGCCATATATTGTTTAAAGGAAGAATTTGAGATGAAAGACTTTAAAAAAAATAAAATTTTATTTGAGTCTTCAGATTGAACATTAGACAAATAAAATTTTTGTCCATCAATCTAATTATATAGCAAAAGAGTTAAAATGATTTTATATGGATAAAATACATCAATTGAGTTCATCAATGGTTATAAGGTCACTAAATGTGAAAAAAAAAAAACCCTTTCTGACCTCGTGAGGATAATGAAGAACTTCTTAGTCCTGAAATACTGTATCTTATTGTAATTGGAGCATTGATGTATCTTGCTAGGAATATATAACCTGATATATCATTTGCTATGAATTTATTAGCAATATATAGTTATTCTCCGACTCAAAGATATTAGAATGGAACTAAATATATGCTTCAATATATTTGAGAAACAATGGAATTGGCTTATATTATTTAAATGTATTAAAATCAAGTTTAATTGATCATACAAATATAGGATATTTATCTAATTCACACAAAACTCAATTCCAAGCAGTTTACTTGTTTACATATGGAGGTATCGCTATTTCATGACATTCTATAAAACAAATTATGATTGGTATTTCTTTTAACCATATAGAAATTTTAACAACTCATGAAGTAAGTCGTGAATGTGTCTAGTTAAGATATGTAACTCAACATATTTGATAAATGTGTGGCTTGTCAATTAATGAGGAAATGCTAACAACATTATATGATGACAATACTACATGCATAGCACAGTTATAGAAAGGATATGTTAAAAGTTATAGGACAAAATATAAAGTTTTTAATAAGACAGTATTTCAAAAGCGTATTTTTTAAAAAAATTATATACTCTTTTTCCTTCATTTGGATTTTTTTTGATAAAGTTTTTTTCTTGTAAGGTTTTAACGAAGCATATCCTTGATACGATGGATATTTAAAAGAAAGGGTTATGAATATTTTTTTGAATATCCGTTTATACTTTATATATTTAGATTTAGACGTAAATTAGATTGGATGAAAATTAAGATTTAATCGGTCTATCTAATCTTTTAGTGTTATTTTCCTCTTGTAAATTCAATCTAAATAAAAGGTTATTAGCTTATAAATAAGCTCCTTCAATTCATTTGTAGATACATTTGAATAAGATCTTCTTTCTCTAAATATTTTCTCTTATATTTCTGTTATAGTTATTTTTTTTAGTTATATTTTCATAAAAGAAAAGATAAATTGGCTAACACTTACTATTTTTTATTATTTCAATGTAGACTTATTTTTCTTACTATTTACTTTACCTAAAACATTATTTTTAATCCAAATAAAAATTCCACATCATCATTCTAACTCCTTTTTAATTTACTTTTTAAAAATCACTAAGTTTATAATTTTTTTATATTTACTCAAATTTTAAAAATTCCACATTGATTATTTTAACTCCTTTTTAAATGTATTTTTAAAAAATCAATAAATTTATAATTTTTTATCATATTCGTTCAAATTCTAAAAGTATGGTGAAAAATACAGCCAAAATTGTATCAATTAATAGATTATTAATAAATTTAAAACATACGGTTAAAAAAATTCTTAAATTATTTAAAAATATTTACAAAAATTATTATTTTTCTATCATGCTCAATTAAATTTTTATATTTTTATTTTAATTTAAATAAATTATTTATCATTTTATACCCACGTAATATTGATATGAATGATAAAAATATCATATAATCATATCATATTACGTCATCGTTTATTATATTTTTTGTAAAATATCAAGTTAATGTAATGTGATATAAAATAACAAATAATATTTTAATCAATGAAAATTAACCAAACATTAATTATAAAGATTTACATGACTTAAAATAAAAATAAAATAATTTAATTGAATATAATAAAAAATAAAATTTTATTTAAAATTTTTTAAATAATTCAAAGATATTTTTTAAATATGAAATATAAATCTATTTATAATTTTAACTTATAAATAGGGACCGGTGTAGTAAATGAAGACAAAATCTTCATCGGAGGGAGGATCAGACATTCAGAATTAATGAAATTCATGAGAAATAGATTTTAATCTCTAATTTTTAGGCTGCAACATATACAAAAAAATCCCGCCAGCAACAGAAACGTTGAGAGATTCAAATTCTCCTGCCATAGGAATGCTCACAAGGTCACATTCCTGCTGAGCTTTCTCTGAAAGGCCACGCCCTTCACTTCCCAAAACCAAGCATAATGCAACATGTGCTAAAGAATGTACAAACTCTTGAGATAGTGAAGACACCTTTTGTGTTTTCCCATCACTATCTGGGTGGCCAGCTAGCATCTTCATATTGAATGTATCTTTCAGGGTTTCAAGATGGTACCAACTGCCCGAAACTATGGGCAGCTGAAAGGAGGCTCCCCGGCTTGCTCTAAGCGCCTTTTCATTGAATGGATCACAACAACCAGGAAGAAGAAATATGCCTCCCTGTTGGATATGGATCATAATATCAGAACCCTTTGGAATAATGGAATGTGGGCATTGAAATAGAGGAAAGAATATCTAACTCTGATTAACAAATCGTTAGGATGTCCCATAAGAGCAACCTATTGATTCTTGGTTCATAAGCTCAGTGAAATACCCCATTACAATTTTGCGTGTAAACAAATAGCGTGTTTACACACATGCATGTCACTCTAGATGATGCATCTACAATCTACCTAAAAAGTATAAAACATTGTGCATGAGTGGATTCATGCCGCATCATCCTAAAGTTTCGAAACAGTCATTGACAGCTATAAGAGATTTGTTATTTAGTGAACTTACACTCATGAATTGTGATAAGAGTGTCAGTGAAGCATGTATGTCTATGAGAATTTGATAAATATATAGAAAACTGTTGATGACAAGAAGCAAACAGTAAAGGAAAGAAATAACTTCATGTTTAAAATTTTATTCCTCACCCATCGAAAGGCCATAGCTGATCTGAGTAATGTGCCAAGGTTACCGGGGTCCTGCAGGGATCAATTTCTCATGAATTAGAGATCCAAATGTCCAGAAGAGTCCTCAAATCAAATGCCTACAGTTATAGCTTTGGGATTAAACGGTGTTGCACCATTACATCTTTGAATCAATATGAATCTCAAGCATTAAAGAGAACTAAATGTTTTCCAGTCATAGCACATCAAAGGAAAACAAAACCAAAGACTTCTAATACATTCCTGTCCTTTGCCATTCAATGCATTTGATACTTTATTTGCACCAGATGTTCAGCCTACAACTGTTTATGTGTTTTCAGTTGACACTACAACATAGAAAGTATGTAATCAAGTTCCAGCAAATATCACATGACAAAGTTTTTGATAGAAAACTTTGCCAAGCATGAGGGTACCAACCAAAGAGTAACTTTCATGGTCATATGATTTCCTCTAGGTGCTTCTAAAACGATATTGGAACAACTACTTCAATGTTCTGTAAAATTTTATAGAGACAGCAACAAGAACAACAACTGCAACTTCATTTTCTTCCAGAAATGTTGAGAAACCTATAGGGAACTATGATTTTAAATCATAAAGCAAGATTCTAGAACGGGAGAGGGGCGGAAACAACAGGAACCTCAGAAAAAGGGACAAAAGAAAACTGCATCGAAAGAGTTTGAGAATCACCTGAATGCCATCAAGGACTAAAATTCGATGTGTGGATGGGAACCAACTTTGACAATCTGAATTATTTAGATCAACATCCAAATTTAAGAAACTGGTAGGGAACCTCATTAAGGCAATTGCTTCAATAGATTCAGCTGATTGCACCCCGGAAAGTTTTTTCATCACCATGGAGCTTACATGCACAACATGAACAGAGTGTTTATCCAGCCCTTCAGGAATTTCAGCTTTGTCAAGTAGTAGCAAAAAATCCATTCCAGCAATTTGCTCTTGTGACGACTCCTGATACCTGTATACTTCCCTGAAAAGGTTGAATGTGACAACTCTTTGTTTAGCCCAGACAGACAAAACCCTTGGAAGAGAAACTAAATAACAACCACAACATTGCCATCTACAAAAAAATATCCTTTACATGTCTGACTTCATCCTAATTTTGTTGAAGTCTCTAAAGTTGGATAATAAGCAAGGTGACTTGTAGGGAAGGAAATTCAAATGAGGTACTAATTTTAATAACTCAAAAGTCAAATTGTTTACAAGGTCTACATTGTAGTGAATAAAAGAAATCATTGAAAGCTCTCTTGCAGCAAGAACCGACGCCATGGACAAGTTCTATGACTTATAGCAACTTTTTAAATAATCATCTGTAAAATAACAAAAAACAATAGCCCACCCCACCCCACATATGCCCATGAGCTGATTAGCATTTTCATAAGCAGAAGGAACAGCCACAGTTTCAAACAATTAACATAAACTGCAGAAAACCTTGGATAAGAGACCTCTAACATGAGTATCAAGGTGACTCCTGAAAATGCCGTTATCAGAAAGAGGTCCTACCAATAACAAGGTTTATAAGCAAGTACATCATATGTTATTCAATGGGGATTTTTTTAGGGAAGAATGAAAGAAAAGGTTTCACTAACGAGCATACTAACGAAGCAAAATAATTTTTAATCCTTCAAAATACTGAAGTGTGAACTACTATTTCGTTCTTTTTTTCTTTCCTTCTTTCTCCACTTCTAAGTAACTGAACTACCATAGCGCAAATAGCATAAAATAAAAGAAACCCATTTGGGGTTTTGTGCAGTTAAACTGAAACTTCAAAGAGACCCAAAGCTAGAGTTTGAATAGAAAGGTTACCTGATAGGAGTAGTGCCAACAACAAGAGCAGAAGCGTGAGAGTGGCGATAAGAAGAGCTGCTCTTGAGCTTAAGACAGTGTTTGATAAATGGGTTTAACGTGCTTGTAATTGATTTAACAAGGGGTGGCAATGTAAATTTCACTAACCCGGAACCACCACCATTATCAATCTTATCATCATCTTCAACATCGTCAAATCTGTTGTCAAGAGACTTTCTTTGAACTTGGGTCTTTGTTTTAGTGATTGAAAGATTGGGTTTTTGGTTTAGTAGTTTGAGCTGTGGAGGATAACTAATACTAGCTTGTACCCAAGGTTCGTATGCGCATATCATTCTCTCTCTCTTATCTATGGAGTCTGGAATTTCCTTTTCAGAGAAGTATAATTTATAAGTATCTATGCACCTAAAAATGGAGAGAGGGGAGGAGGGGTAATTACAAGACCAGCCTCCCACCGACTTTCATTATCCTCTCTTTTCCTTTCATTTCTCTTTAAAACTAGTAAAAAACTTAAAAACAATTTTTGACAGAGAATTTTGTTTTGCTATAACTAATTCTTGTCAAAGTAGGATTAATCAGTAATAGAGTTCTCCAATAAGAAGCCAAAAAATAAAAGGGTTCTCCAATGTGGCTCCAACGACAACCAGTCATACACCCCTTATATTATAGCGTGAAAAATGAAATTCGCAGCTAACCCGTCCTAGCAGAAGGGTTAAGTACGAAGTAGAAGCATTCTGGCATTTGGAGGGAGTGGAAAAAGAGATATAAACCTGAATTGGCATTATTATTACTATACTGATTTGTCTACAAAGGTTTCCTAAAATGAAAACTAAAAAGGAGAAAACATAATTATCCTATATCCTCTGTGACGTAGGCAAAGTCATAGGTGGTCCTTGGCTGGGATAATCATCCATTGAAATTATTGTGTTTTGAGCATACACCCTCTGAGATGTTGCAGGCATATATAACCTCTCAGATGTTGGCGGCATACCAGCATTTCTCTGAACAATTGGAGACATATACAGGTTCTCGGAATTTTGGGGCATATCAGCCCGGTGAGAAGACGAAGCAATGTTATCATTCCTTTGAGATGTTGCAGGCATGTATAACCTCTCGGCGGCTGGTTGTAATGCAACATCAGCCCTCTGAGAAGTTGAACCCATGTGGTCGGTCCTGTGAGCAGTGGGAGGTACATACATCCTCTCAGAAGTTGGAAACATTGGGGCATCAGTCCTCTGAAACGTTTGACCCATACTGTCGCTCAAGTGAGAAGTTGCCATCATATATATTCTCTCGGACGTTGGAGACATGCTTTCATTCCTATGTGAAATGGGAACCATACTGTCACTTTTATGGGATGTAGGCAAATACACTCGCTCATGAGTTAAACCTATTGCAGTGTCCGACCTCTGAACTGTTGGAGCTGCATTGCTATTCCTCTTAGATGTTGTAGGTATATTAATCCTCTCGGAGGGTGGAGGAATAGGCTCATTTCTTTGAGATGCTAGTGTCGGACTTTCATTCCACTGTGATGTTTGTGACGTATACATCCTTTGAGATTGATGGGATGTTGCTGATGACACTCCTTGGTTTGATGTTTCTCTTCCTAATGGCACGGTTAGGGATGCATCTTGGTTTTCCAAATCCATCTCTGATGTCGGAGGTATGAGGAGAGATGCTCCATGATTTGGTAAATCACCATCAGCAGTTGGAGGCAGAGATGTAATTACTGGGTTTGATAGATCCCTCTCTGAAGTTGCAGCAACAGAAAGCAACAATGCATGATTTGGTGAATTACCCTCTGATTCTGGAGACATGGCGCGCGAAACTCTACGGTATGGTGAATCTCTCTCTGATGATGGAGGCAATGCTGAAGAGACTCCTCGGCTTGTCATATCTGTCTCTGACGATAGATGCAAACCTGAGGACAATCCTAGGCTTGGTAAATCCCTCCACTGCTGTGCCACCATTTTGATCTGGGTGTAAAAATGCACACCTGACTTTCCTGCAATTCATAAACAAGAGAGAAGAAGATAGAATCACATTTCAGAATATGGGTCAACTAACATGTACTAAGGAGAGAGAGGAAGAGGAGAGAGGTTCAGACCACAAAAATTAAGATCTCCGGCAAAAGATGCTCTTGGTCCATTAAAAGAGGAAAAAGGCATTGGAACAGCAATGGGAACAGGAACATTGATCCCAACCTGAGTCATACACATTTCAAGTTAGACAATGATAATTAGCACACGGTCAAAGATCACACAAGGCTTAAATTAGAGTCAAGCTATGATGTGGTGCATCCTCTAAGGTAGTAACTCCACTTCTCCCAGTATCAAAGCCTTTGAGACAAGTGAAGCACTTTGTCACTAGGAGAGAGGGCTATTTGGATTCCTGGTAGAAATTTGCATGAAAAAATTAGTACAATATTATATAGTAAGCTCAGACCAACATGGTTTCTTCTTTAAATAGTACAAATGACCAATCAAGAGACTCGACATATAAATGATAGACTGATTTTAGTAACAAGACTATAATGAACCTTAAATTAATAAGAAGGCATTAGATGAAACAGACTGTCAAGTAAAGCAATTCTTAACAAAGAGCTTTGCTAAGCAGGTAACTTCTTTTGGGTCAAAAACATCTGCCACTTTTAAGTGCTTCAGAAGATGCAAACAAAGAAACCCTTATAGAGCTTTTGCAGGTTAGAAGCACTTTAACAAGTCCTTGTTTTCTGATGCCAAACAAAGGATCTACGTACCAGGCCAGACTCGATTTCATTCTGAAACTTCCTTGCAGCATAGCCAGATGTTGTGAATATAGAAGCTCCATTCACGGACCTATGAAAATAGTAGGTATGAATAAAACTTGGAGATGAACAAGCCAAGAAAACTTTAGATGTGAATTTCGACATCTACGAGAAAGAAAGCATAGTTAACATAAAAGTTATTCTCAGGGTTTAAGGGAAAAAACAATATTCTTATGACAACAAACAACAATATCTAGTAGGAATTGTCAGCAAATACTCAACATGTTGTATAGTTAACATCAGCCTGCCAGGTAAGGGACAAATCACCAAAAGGAGGAAAAATATAATTTTATGAAAGGGTGCCTTAGACAACCCCCCTGCAAAAAAATCTAAATTATCTTACCTTCATACTCTTTGAAACTACATGCCCTAATAGTAGGGGAAATTGTATGTGTGCTTGCGTATTTGTGTCTCTCTAATGAAGGGGTAAGCATAAAAATTATAAATAAAAAAGGAGAATGAAGTTCAGAAAACCAGGGAAAAGTGTAAATCCTAAAAATCCAAAGTGGGGCACATGTTAATTTTCCCTAGTCATGGATTAACTCCACAGCATCTTGCATTGATCATGCCATAGTAGAAATATATCATAAACACTTTGAAATAGAACATTCAAACCCAAATGAGATAAAGAGATTAGAGTTAAGTACTTGTTTCTGTTTACAATGGTTATGGCCCCTTCTAGGCTCTCAGCCTGTTGGTAGTTGCAGAAATGAAAGCTGTTAGCCAATATCCAACCAACCCCATGTATTTAAAATACTAATGCAGAAGTAAAAGCACAAGATACCTGCAAACAAAGGAGAACCGGTCCAAACATTTCTTCCTGCTCAAAACAAGATACAGTGTGGTCAAGCATGTGCCAAGGTATTTTGAGTTAATTCTTCTTCCACTAACAATCATTAACTGTCCAAGTTCATTCGTTATAAAATTCTAACTATTGGAAGCATGAAAAAAAGAATACCTTGCAGCACTCCATATTGGATGCAACATCACATATGATAGTAGGACCAATAAAATTCCCATTCTCATAACCAGGAACCTGCAAAAATTAGAGTCAAGAACGTTTCAAGTTAGCTTCTGAAGAAACCAGCTTCTGAGTAAAAGCAAAGAAAAACAAAACAGAACAAAGAAAAAACTGCACAAGCTAGTTAAATCAAAGTCCAGGACCCCCGGAATCAATATTTTTCAAGAACAATTGTAACAAACAGACTCAGGAAAAGACAACTGAGAAATTATCAGGTGAGAAGACAAGCACAAAATACACTAAAAACAAGGAACTACTGTGGAAGTCATAGCAATATCTAAAGAAAGATAAACCTTGAATTACACAATCAATCAGTAACAACAATGTTGAGCAGTTTAGAATCATATGTAAACTTCTACTTTTATCAGTAAGATAAGTGCCAATGGGATAACAAGACCTCTGCGTCTGTCTTTAAGTACTGAAAAATATATTGTTATATTCTAGTCCATTATAGCATCTAAACCAGCTGGATTTTATGATGCTAACTTTTGAAAGTTATATCTCCAACATTGCCAATCTAGAGCCTAATAAAAGATAGATTTCAGGTTGATAATATACAGGCCGTCAGATTTGAATAGGATACGATGCCCAGAAATAAAATGACAAAAGAATGAATGAGAAATCCCCATAAGGAAAAAGAAATAAAACGTTCTTTCCGAAGTTCTCCGGGATATAAATTGTTTTAAGTAGACAATTGATCCTTCTCTTAAGTCTCACCTCATTCTACCTTATCCTCACTTTCTCTTTTAAAAAACTTACTCTATGCGATACATTTGGACCTTTAGATTTAACTTTTAGATCCAGCTAAAGAAGGAAAGGAAGAACATATTGGCAAGATCTTATATTGAAAAGACATCCAAGGACATGGCAGTAATCACAGAGATGCTTTTATGAATTTTTAGACAACAGTCCCAGACGATTTTCTAGAGGCCTTTGGCCTGAAACAACATCTAGGGTGGAAGTGGGTTGGTTAGGCTATTTGGAGAAAAAAAATGGAAAATCACAATTCATTAATTTATATATATTAATCTACTTTCTAAACACCCCCTGCCTCTCCTCCCCTGAGATGCCTCCCAAAATCATGTGATTGTCTCAAATACATATTTTTATGCACACTTCTTTGTTGATTTTTGAAACATTAAAAGCATATTAAAATGCTTTTCAAACTGAAAGAGTAAAGGATTATTCATCATCTCAACTGACAACACACCAGCTTAAAAATTGAAATGTAGGTGTACTAACAAAATCAAGACTACTTCAACCAATCATAGACCACTAAAGGATTTAAAGCAGAAACATAGGAAAACACACACAGAGAAGCACTTAAGCCAAAAATTAAGAAAACACACACACACAGAAGCAGTCACATGTCACACAATTCTATAAAGAAAGTTTAAAATGATTAATGACAAGACACATGCTGTCAAAAGAATTATCTTTACAATTATGATTGTAATACACTCAATTTTAGGTGCATAGGAATCCAACATCCAGTTCAGATGGGTAGAGGTAGGGCAAACCAACAATCACAAACCAGAGCTGCTATGTAAACTCTTCATTCCAAGAGCTTTAGTAAGCAACCACCAACACTTGTACCATTGTCCTATTCTGGAACATGTGTATGGTTAAGCTAAAAATTATTGTAAATACCCATAAAAATATGTCTGTAGCAGCAGCAGTTATTATAAGATATATTTGATAACATTTCGAATTATCAATAGTGTATTGAAGTCAATCATTGATCAACAACATCAAGCTGCAGTTCTCTTGAAAATATAACAAAACTGATTCAACCCTCAAAGCAAGCACATCAAGCAGAATGAAGAAAGTGCATTTAACACATGTTAGTATTCCAAAGATAGTATAATTGCCTTAGAAAAGCACTGGAGCAAATGAATACCACAATATTTCTCCCATCTAGAAGAAGTCTAGCACCACCATCAACACTGCTTTGAACTAATCTATTTATGCGATCCTTTACCTGTGAGATCAGCAAGCAACAAGGAAATAAAACAGAAAATAAAGTTGACAATAAACGTGTGAATCTAAAGCATGCATGATACAAGAAACACGTAAAATTAATCCAGCTGCGGAGACATGTTTATACTTCCGCAGAAAATTTTAGTAGCAAAGAAGTCAACCAGCATTTCACTCCTCTTTGAAAATGTAGATTAATTTTGAAACAGTCCTGAAGGTAGGTTTTTACCTCCTTACTAATCACTGGACCTACATCTGCACCAGGATCTGATCCTACATTCACTTTAAGTGCTTTGGCACGCTCCAAAAGTTCTTCTTCCCTGAACATGTTAGTAAAACACTCAAGCTACAAAAACTCATCTTATTTGCACCAATTAGTTTTTATTTCATAAAACACACCGCCACACCTTTCTATTTATGAACAAACATATTAATTCCATGAAAATTGAACATTCAAAAGGTTGGCCATTGGCAAGGATGAGATAGTTGAAAAAGATTCACGAAGGCAACCCCTCTTTTTCGGACAAGATCGGTTCCCATACAATCAATGATTGGTAGAAAAATAAAGGAGATAATGACCTCAAAGAAAAGGATCTGAAATCACATTCTGGAGACGAGATGGAGAAAGATGAGACAAAGAACCACCAAAATCCATGAACACTCAGAATTTTTGAATTGAACCTATCATGTATGATCTACTATCAAACCATCCTTATATAAGATATTAAGAGGGCCAGTTTTGTCAAGGGTGCAAAGCACACTCTAGGCATTAGAAACCTTATATTATCTGAGGCACAAGGTGCAAAAAAGCACTTACCTGATTGAAGTAAGGTGCAATGCACGTGTGTGTGTGTGTAATAAGCTTAAGAAATATTATTCAGATAAAAAACTCTTAATAGTGGCCCATTGTTATCCTACAAAACATGCAAAGATTCCTGTTCTATTTTGGGCCTATATACATGATTCCCTTAATGTCCCAAGTTTGTTGTTGAATACTTAAACATTGAGAAGTAGAGTTTGATAGGTCCCTTTCTTTACTATTTCAGGTACAACTAATAAAAAAATTAAAAATAAACAAAAATAAAAGAGAACTTCAATCGAGCGGCTTTTTTTGGCACCTGCCGCCTTACAAAAAAGCGCACCTAGGTGCACCAGGCATGCGCCTGACCAAACGCAGCTCGCCCAAAAGGGTCTGAGGCGCTTTTGTTGTCTGACACTGCAGCTTAGCACCTAGGCATGCACCTTAACAACACTGACCATGGCTAGAGGAAATGACAAAAGATATAACTTTTATGGATAAGTGTTGCATATAATTTGTCACCTCACGAGAGACACCGTTGCTTACATCAAAGTTTATTTGCAGCACTTTTTCAAATGGTAAATCATTGGAAGACTTTTAAAATATAATGAACATGAACATATACTAGTCCAAATGTGTTATCTTAGAGGCTTGGGTTAGGTTTCTAAGCAAAATAAAACCTATTGTTACATTAATAAAGGTTCAGTCCTTCCATATTTGCTCAAAATTTTGGGATAATTGTAATCCTACAATTTTAACATGTTATGAGAGCACAGGTCTCAAGTTAGAATCCTAAAGAACTTCACCCTTTTCCTTTAATTTTCACCCAGTGTCTTGCCCAACCCTTATGTGTGATATTGTTTAATCAGTCTTCAGATTGCAGAATTTTTCCACACTTTGGACCATGAGCAACGCCCATTAATCATCTATCTAGCTGAATGTAAGGGAGTGTATAAGAACTTAAATATAAAAATTGGGTCCTTTACCATCAGCTTAAGCTTTTGCTAAACCCATAGATAATTGTTTAGTAAACTTGAAAGAGAAATTCTAGAAGCAAACAATACGGATAATATCCAGCAAATGGGATTTGCATCTGCTGTGAGCTGTGGAAGAGGTTTTGTGACTCGTGTATGTCTGTAAAACAAAAAATTCCAGACCAAGGGTACTCTTAGGAAGAGCCATCTTATTCCCTTTTTCCCATAAAACATTGACTGACAGGTAACTTCCTAAAACAACTTGTGGTCAAAATCGATGGCTTACCTGAGCTGTGCTATAGGCATCCAAATTATTAACAAGTAGCAATTTAATGCAACTAGAATTCAAACTAATCAGTCAAGCTATAGTCAATGCAGCATCTGGGGAAACAAATAATTCCAGGTAAAGAAATCATTATACCATGGCATTGAACCTCCAACAAAAACTGCTGTACTTAGACCTATGCACCTCTGCCCTGCAGCTCCAAATCCGCCTGCAACTAGAGAACTTAAAGTAGCATCCACGCTTGCATCAGGCATGATAATTGCATAATTCTTGCCTCCTACATTGGACTAAAAGGTCAACACAATAATCAGCTAAGTTTATGCAAGTTTCATCTTTTCAATCAATTCTAGCAACAAGAAAAACCCAGAGGCAGAGAGAGATACAAAGAGTATTCACCTGAATACGTTTCCCTCTAGCAGCAGCCCTAGCATATATATGCATGCCAGCCTACAAATAGAAGAAAAATGAAAAAGAAAGTAAATTGAAGTCAATCAACAAAAACTGATGCCCATGGAATTTGAATTTTTCATTTTGTTTTCCTTACTTTTTTGGTGGGGGGAATGAGCATAGACAATGAAAGATGAATCATAAGCTTATAAAATAATAAGTTAACCCCTTAAAGTAAACTGTTTCACCTCAAAACATTGTTTATATGGCTGTGTTGAAGCTTGTTTCAAGTCTGCTTTACCCCTCTTAGAAAGTCTTATCAGGAAATTGAAATAAGTTTAAATTGCAATTGGGCTCTCCATGCATTTTCCAAAATTTCTCACTCAATAAAAGGGAGGAAATCCATTAAAAATGGAATGAAGAATTTTGGCATGAAGCTCAGAAAATGACATGCTTAAACATGTCCATTGCAATTTCTATGTACTTCTATCAGGTTTGTCATGTTGATTGCCTATCAAAAAACAACAAAAGCAGAATATAAGGCTAGCAATATTCTTCAGCTCACATAGCAAAATACATCACCAAGACATGAAAGAGCTAAGGAAGTACAGGGGATTAACATAAAGTCCCTCTGTCCCATAATCAGTGGCCATTTCAAAAGGTTCTAGATAGAATGAGCGTCCCATTAGTAAAATATACCATACCAAACTCCTTAATCAAAAGCATCTTCTGATAGTTTTACCAACAAATGAACTCTTTACATGGGTAATTTTGAAAGCAGGGAAACATATGCATTTTGAAATGGCTCAATGACATGGTACAGAGAGTATTAAATTTTTGCAAATGTAAGTCCGGTAAAATTTTCAAATAAAGATCAGTAGCCACCGAGAAGACTATAAACAAGAGCAACTGTATGCATGTATGTGAAGAACATCTGAGAGTAAAATCCAAAGGCCTAAGGTAAGCATATCTTCATGCATTGCCATAAGCAAGAACCAGATTCAGAGAATTAACTTACTGTGTTCGAACCAACAAAAGATATAGCTTTTATATCCTCATCATCACAAATATAATTGACAATATCCTGCACATTAATGGAAATCCAGTCAGAGATAAGTTACCAACATAGATAGGAATTCTCAGCAGTTGCATTAAACCTTTTTTTAAAAAAACAATATTATAATTCCGGGGGAAAATCATAAAATGGAAAAAGTTATGTTGACAAAGTCTCTCAAATAGAGATGCAAATGGGTCTTTCTAGTCCAGTCCCTTTCAAAAAAATCCTAATCCAGCTTGGAGAGGCTGCCAGAGACCTTTCAGGATATATGTACCTTTTGGGATATATGACATTAAATATTAAAGAACAAGTTGCCACGCTTGAATGTTAGAATGCAAATTAAATGTTTAGTTCCAGCAGATTACTACACCAGCTAGATATAAACATGGAGAAATCCCATTTACCAAAAGGCTCAAGTTCCTCTCACTATTTGTGTATCTAACGGACAAATGAAGCATAGAAAATCAAATAGGCAAGACTATAACTACCATGCTAAAGCAGATAAAAAGGATAACACTACCAAAGGAGTGAGGGTCCTGGGTCATAAATTCCTGCAATAATTAAGGATGCATAGCAATAGCAATGATATCCACCCACACAACCTATGAAAGAGTCCCTTCATACCATCTATATGAATAGGGCTTTTATGTGCTCTTTCACAACAAGTCAAGAATATAAAAAGGAGAAAGAGCACCCTACACAAACTAACCATTTCAGCATCAGGGCTCTAGCCCAACTCCCCGGCTGCTAACTGCACATTTAGCATCCCCTCCACTGATGCCAGAGCTACCTCCACTCAAGCAAATGATGCAATTTGGATCCAATACAGATCAGAAACTAATTGACTTTAACCCAAAATTTGAATCAAGTCTCATCCCTTCCTTTCATTCTTTATCCAAATATCGTCTCCTTAATGCACAAACATGCATAATCTATTGTCATTGGCTTGTGCTGCAGACAATATGGAAGCTGGCTTTTGTTAACTTGAGAAAGGGAGGGGAGAAAAACCCTTAGGAGACAAAGAGAGAGAACCCAGCCATAAACATATGGCATAAGTAAGGTATTTTAGTAGATAAATACAAAGGAAAGGCTTCTATTAATAGCTATCTTAACCCACCAAACCCAGGACTAATTTTCCCCAAATGGAGCTAGAAGGTTCTGTATATGTAATTGCCATCTCAGGATGAGTAGATATGTAACCCTCATACTAATACCTAAACTCCTTATTGCAAAGCCTAATTCAACCACAATGGCCACACATGGAAGAAAGATTTTCTCTGGTAACATATATGTAATAATAGTGAAACCTCCAATATATTCCTCTGCAATGTTTACAATGGCAAGTTTAACAACCAAAAAATAGAAGGCTCCTAAGAAGTAAAGCATACATTGGTGCCATGAACAATATTTAAGACACCATCAGGAAAACCAGCCTCCTTTGCTAGTGCTGCAAGGATCATTGAAGCCCCTGGAGGAGGAAAAGAAAAAGGTTTTGACAACATTAACACACTTAACATGACAAAAACACAAACATAGATGTCCATATATAAATGAATTCAATAAGAATACAAGGTTACAGGTGATTAGATGGTTAAATGCAATATACAGTAAACACTAATATGATATTGGAGTAACCCAATAAGATAAGGGAACTACTATTAAATACTATCTGAGCACCAAGGTTGTTCAATCATTACCAATGTTTTTCAAGGAGTATATCTAGTCTATTATTTAATTCCACTTAGATATCAATATCTGATGAAAAGAGAAATGAAAAGGTAAGGCATGCAAGATGTTACTTGTTCACTTGATATTATGAATACTTTGAAGAAATCTTCGAAGTTTACAGAGTCACAAGATATTACTTTGATCACAGAACTGAACCACCTTATTATATAAAATCTAAGTTTTGGGCCAATATAAAGGGATGGTTGCTTCATTTGTACATGAGGAAAACATCCTAAAACTGTCCTGTGTCAGAAAATAAAGTTCGAACTTCCACAGCCCCATTTGAAACAAAAGTAAAAAACAGACTAGAAAAGGTTCAAATAACCTGGATTTTTTTCGCATGGCTTAAGAATAAATGTATTGCCACATGAAACTGCAATAGGAAACACCTGCAAAAGATACACAATTTTCACAAGAAGGAAATAACGACACGCAAAAAGTAACTTTCATAAGTGGAATAAGAAAAGCTTAAAGAAACTAGACAAACTAGACAAACAAGAGCCACTTGAGAACTATCAAATTAGCCTCGTCTCGGACTCAGAATCATTTTATCATGATTTAGAGATGGTTGGAAATTTGGAATGCATAAGACAACCAAGAAACTGGTGTACACAATCGGAGGAAGCATTACGACATTCAGAAGCTTACAACAGCCAAAATCTAGACAAGATAAAGGATGAAGAACCAAAACCCAAAGAAAGGAAACAAGGAGCCGGCAAACACACCAACAAAGGGATCATTGCAGGAAAGTTGGAGGGACATATCCCAGCACACACGCCGAGTGGTTCTCTAATGCAGTACGTATCAAGGCCATTAGATGCATTCGGGACAAACTCCCCCATTTGCAGAGTTGCCAGTCCACAAGCATGTTCAACAACCTCTACAAGCAAAATAACAAAGCAACAATTAAAATCTAATGACCTGGGACTCGTTATTAGCAATCTTTTAATACGACGGAACAAAATCAATATAGCATCCACAAAGACTACCTAAACCACGCAACACATCACCCTGGGCTCTCTTTAAAGTCATTCCCTGTTCCATCGTGATATTCATTGCAAGCTTATCCTGGCAAAAAACAGGGAATAATCAAACATTCTGCATATGAAAATTGGTAGTTTCAAAAATAAATATATTACTATAATAGCAACAAATTATTTTATCCCTACAATATTGCTGTGGATGAGCTCCTGGAGCTTGAACATGATGCGCTGGCGGGTTGTAACTGGTGTATTCTTCCAAGAGGAAAAAGCTTGCTTGGCAGCATTAACTGCATCTTTGAACTCTTCGTAGGTAGCTGAAGGAACTTGAGAAACAACCTCTTGTGTTGCCTAATTAAAAGAACAGTGATATAAATAAAAAAGCATCAAAGAGGATGAGAAAACCAAATGACGAATTTTGCTCATGCACTTACTGGATTAATTACGTCAATGACCATGGACCCTTGTGAATCCACAAATTTCCCTCCAATAAAATTAGGAACTTTCACCTATATAAGTTGTAAACCAGAATCATTAAGTATATCAGACAAACATGAGTATGTAGTCACACAGAGAAACACACACATGGACACATGCTAAATATACAGAGCACTAGCAACAAAAGCAGTAAAGGAAAACGTCATACACCACTTTTCTCCTTTCACACCAAAACTTACCGGCTGGTTGTTTTGCTTTAACAACTCTCCAGTGAGAGTTCCATTCAGGTTTATGGGAACAGATCTGTTAGGCCTCCATGATTTGAAACTTTTCTCTGTAAAAAAACATTTCTACCATAAAGCAAGTTGTAGAGGAATAAATATAAACTTATTTTACAGATTACACTCTCTAAGTGGGAGTGGAAATAGATTTATTGTTTAAAATCTTCAATTGTTCTGTTAGAATGTAAAAATAATCACTTTAATAGAACATGTTCCTTCTCAAACCCATGCAACCTCAATAGCATGCTTAACAATCTATTCTCAACTTTGATTCCCTCCATTTTGACTCAATATTTGAAGTCTTCTATACAAAAAATAAGCATAAATCCTGCAACCAGATAAATAACAGAATCGAGCTCCCACTAAACTTTGAGAATAACATATGAACCTTAGTCCAAATATCAGCAAATTATATTTATATCATCAATATGTACTTGCAAACTCTACAAACAGTAGATCCTAGATCCTGTGACGAAAATGAAAAATGGCCTATCTTCTTCATATTAGAACCAGGAAACAGCTACCTGGTCTTATCTGACATTTTGATGATTAACTGCAAAGCAAACAACATCAACCCTGATACTGATCAAGCAGCAGCGGAGAGGCCCAGTTAACATCGAAATTCCACAGCTTATTTAATTCACAATAGAATTATAAAAACGTTAAAACACCAATAGGAGACTAACCTGATAAATTCCCTTGACGAATCTTAGCTTTAAGGTTGTACAAATGCCTTGGAGTTGACTGCAACTCTGGGTTACTTTGTTTCAAAGCCTTGAGCACTTGGCGTGGTTTTATACCAGCTTCAGTCATTAATTTGATTTGCCTAACTTCTTCCTCAGTAAAACGACGACTATAAGGATGCTCTGACATATCTTTTAAAGGCTCGTGATTATGCTCCCCGTTTTTTACGGTGAGAACCCATGCATCATCTTCCTTTTTACCTATGGCTTCAAAAGGACAATTGATAAGCCTTGAGCATGCTTTCCTTTTGCGTTTACTTTCATCAATCTTACGCCTATTGCGATATACACCTCCTCTGTCACACCCAAGGATGACTCTTCTGTCCTTCCTAGACTTCTTAATAGTCACTACATAACCTTGGGAAGCCCCAAAATCACGCACATGTTTAATGAGCTCCTCACGATCTTGAAAATTTCCAGGGGGTGGAGGAAGCATCCTTTTCTGTCTACTAAACTCTGGCTGATTTTGAGTCTCCATGATCAGTAGCTGGAAGGAAAACCCTAAATATATTAGAATATGTAGGTGAAGAATTTAGGTGACAAGTGGTGCGGGAAAACATGGCTGCTACCCAGACTGTTTAAACAAAGATTTGAAACACCAAGGTTATATAGTCATCCCCTTTTCCTTATTTTCTTATATAGTCATCCCCTTTCCCTTATTTTCTTCAACTGCGTCATTAATGGCAAGAAACTCCAGGACCACTCATCAAAATACTTTTGCCACCTAGTGTGAGGGCACTTTTGGCCTATCTAATCATACTGAGTTCAATATCACATACAAGCACTTTGGCACATAAATAATTCAATAAGTTGAGCATTTGAGATAGACGCAACCGTCTCAGTCCAACCTTGAAAATATTTATGTTCCAGACATGCCAAAACCATTGTAGCATTGGAGAAAGCATGAAATTTTAGGAGGGAATGCAATTTTTTCAAAACCAGATCGATTTTGGAACATTTCAGCTCAAAATTTTGGCAAATAACAACTGAAAAATCACAAGGTGAAAAGGAATTTTATCATTTCACTTTTCCAAAACAGCATGCCTTAGTGTCTACTTGCACTTTTATACATATCTAATCAAGGGTATTCTTTGTCTCTACATGCTTGTCAACCCAGGAGGGAGAACTCTGAACAACAATTGGAGCTAAACCAAAAATAAAGCACATCGACTGATTTTCCTTTGTAGGGTAAAATCAAAATTCCTCAAACATTCACAAATCCTACCAAGTAGAAAATTAACAGTCCATATACGACCTTAAAATAAACTTCACAGAATAAATAAGGGGAAAGAAAACCAGAAGCTTAGGATACAACCACAGGAAGCAAATATCACAACCCAAATGGGAATTCAAATAAAAAATAATCTAAAAAAAAAGAAACAAAAATTTATTATGTGAAATAACTTACTTGTTGAAAGATCACTCCGAAAAAAAAAGTATCCACAGAAGCAAAATTTTGCAGCTTGTAGACCCCCCCCAAAACCTAGAACCAGTAAACTTAAGTAAGAAAAAATAAAACAAAACAAGAAAAACCATGATTAATGAATTAGAAGAAAAGTAAGAGAGAATGATTTGATTAAAAAAGGAAAAGAGTACTGTAAAACAAAAAAGAGAATCAATAGAAAGTGCAGCAATCAATAATTGGAGAAATTATTAAAACAATAAATGAGCTTACTTTTTTATTTTTGAAAGAAGAAGTGGAGCAAACCCAATAATTTGAGAGCAAGTAAGAGAAAGAGAGAGAAAGTGAGGGAAAATTTGAAGGCTTTGGCCTTTTGGGTTGGGGTGGTGAGAGAGGAAAGGATCGGCACGCCCCTTTCTTTTCTTGTTACGAAGACAGTCTTCGTGGACTACCGGGATTTGATCTTCACGCGCTCTTTCGGGGTCTGGGTTATAAAACGATTTTAGTAAATCATTATTACATACATTTAACTATTTGGTTCAATGAATTAATTTTTATTATCTTATAATTGACAAAAAAAACTATAAATTTCCAAATATCTATGTGCAATTTAATCAAATATATTATTTTTACTATTGATTTTCTCATTTATAATTAAATTACCACTTGATAATAATATAAACTCAATGTACAACATAAATTTTTAAAAAATCAATAATAACACTATCAACAAGAGTTTAGTTTAATGATAATTTCATTCAATTTTAATAACTAATAATTTTAGATTAAAAATTTATGATTTTCATCGATACAAATCAAAAAATGAGTTTTTAAGGCCAATTAATTAATTAATTTATTCATATTTAACGGGCCCTAAACATAATACTAATAATAAATTATATAAATTTTTACATATGAGATAAAATTTTAGTAATGAAACTGTGTTTTTTAAATTATTATATTAAACAATATTAATTTCTTTAATATATTAAAAAGATCAAATTAATCAACTATTATATTAACAAAAATAATAAAATAAAAGAATAAAATTACAAAATGGGGATGATAGTCCACGCGCTGATTTGGGAGTGAATGGCAATGTTGAGATTTTAAGTAGTTAAGCGAGACGGGTGTCCCCTTTGATCAAAAGTGTGGATTGCCAAGTGGATGAGTTATTCGAAAACATGAACTCCACGTGTTAAAGAGGATCGCCAACTGCACACTTGTATTTGTCTCTACTAAATTTCTCAAGAAAAACCTGTATCCAGTGTCTTTTCTTCCTCGCCAAGGCTTTCAGCGGAGTCGGTGAAGCATACTTAATAGAAATTTACTCCTATTTAACTCCTTGACTAAATCCAAATCTAACAAGGACACGGAATCAATATGTGCGAAGCCTATATGTATCTCGTTCGTTCAGAAATATTTCACAAGCAAATTACTGCAAAACTAAATACATTCAACGAGAGTTTAGAGTTTTCTTGTTTTACCAGCAGACGAAATTACGGTATGGCTAACCTTGATCTTCCTCCTCTGTGTGCGAAGGGTTGCGGCTTCTATGGTTCGTCGGAATCCAAGAATTTATGCTCTAAATGTTACGATGATTTCCTCAAAGAATTGATTTCTAAGTCTAAATCCGAACCGAACGTAGATACTTCTTTTGCTGCATCATGTCCTTCTGTTTCTGTTGATTCTTCACTGGCTCCTACTCCATCAAAATTGAAGA